GGGGGGGGGCGGAAGCAGGCAGAAGGCTGAACAGGGATAGTGTTAAATCCTGAGTTCTAGACGCATTGCAGTGATCAGCTCTGGTTTGTGAGGTGATTTCAGCAAACTACAAGACGAAGCGAGCAGGGCTGGAGCCCTGCTTATAAAGCCTGCAAAATGCCACACCCAACACACACACCACACCCCGTGATAGGCTATTTACAGTACCCCGGTTATCTATTGGTTAGTTCCTGGATCCAGGCGAGCTATTGTTCTAGCGACGCAAGCGCAACCCGTTCTAGGTACAGCTAGAGGAAAGGCTGAGGCTCAATACATAACAGATAGGCTGGGAAAACCTGAGGGGAGGGGGAACCTGGGGGGAAAGTGAGTGGGAGGAGGGGAACACAAGGGTGTTCTGCTCATTAAAGTCTGCAAATGGTGTGTGTGTGTGTGTGTGCGCGCACACACACAGAGAGAGAAAAGCCTGGACAAAAAGAGACCTGGTGTGTGTGTGGGGGGAACAAGGGGAGGAGGGTGGGTAAAATTCTGCAAAGAGAGAGGCAAATGGTGGTGGTGGGGGGGAGGAAAGAATCACAGAATCACAGAGCTGGAAGGGACCTCCAGGGTCATCTAGTCCAGCCCCCTGCACAAGGCTGGGAGTTCACAGTGTGGAGGGACCGTATTCCCCTCCTCTGCAAGCTCCCCCAGTCCTCAGCTGACAGATCTGGGCTGGGCTGGGACACACACACACACACACACACACAAACACACACAGGCTCTTGGCTGTGAACGTCCTGGAGAGGACAAGGGGTGGGGGCCCCCCAGGGAGGGTGCAGTTGGGGGAGGGGAGGGGAGAGACCTCCGCAGGGTGCACTGCTGCACCACCCACCTTCCAAAGCCGCCATTTCCCCCAGATTGACTGATCTCCTTTACCTGGAGCCCAGGCGTAATCCCGAGAGATCTCCAGCCGCCACCTGGGGACTGGCACCCCTCCCTACCGAGTCTGCAAGCATGAAGCAGTGGAACTGTCTGCCTCGGGAGGTGGTGGAGGCTCCTTCGCTGGACGTTTTCAAGGCTGGACTTTTGGGTGTGTCGTAGGGCTCTCTTTCGGCTGTGCTCCTGCAGAGGGCAGGGGGGCTGGACTAGATGACCTGCAAGGTCCCAGTTCCAACTCTAACATTCTATGATTCCATGATTCTATGGATTTTGGTACCTCTGTCCCCCAAATGACACATATTCGTTTTCTGAGGGGTGGGGGGTGTTTGAGCCACAATGCAGCACCAAGTTTTCTGGTGTCCCACGACTGAAGCAGTCACACCACCACCCATGGGGCCTCCTGCTGTTTGCTTGCTAGACGTTCCTCAAGGAGCAGCAGACACCTTTGTTCTGCAGAATTGTCAGTTTCATCCACAGCCACAGCTTTTGTTTCTGCCCTCCTCCCTCCCCCCGTTTTTTGAGTTAAGTTCTATTTATGATCCTGGCCTCCAAAGCATTCACTTCTGGAACGGGCTTTTATGCGGCTTCCTGAGAAGAAGCTGGCCAGACAACTCGCTATTAATATGACTCCTTTCCCTTTCCATCTGGGGATTACTTGCTCATTTTAGTCGGTGCTCTCTCTTCTCTCCCTCAAGGCACGGAGGCAAGACATAGCGCTAGACCTGCACCTGCATCTCCTGAAGTACTTGGTCTGTCACGGGGACATCCATCTTTGTGAGTATGAGGACACAGTCTCCTGGATTATGGACTTTCTAAAATCGGCAGAAGCAGGGAATTATGCATGGGACAGAGGAGGTAGAGAAAGAGGTACTTTTCTCCCTTTCTCACAATACAAGAACTCCTTGTTGGCACCCAATGAAATGAGTGAGCATTAGGCTTAGAACCGAACAAAGGAAGTCCTTCTTCACCCAAAGAGACATTAGCAGGTGGAATCCACTGCCACAGGAAGTGGCGGCGGCTACAAGCACGGACGGCTTCAAGGGGAGATTGGATAAATGTATGGAGCAGAGGTCCATGAGTGACTATTAGCCACAAGGCAGAGATGTCTGGGGCAGTGATGCTCTGTATTCTTTAGGGGCAACTGGAGTTCTGGCCCCTCTGGTGGACCTCCTGATGGCACCTGGTATTTCTGGCCACTGTGTGACACGGAGTGTTGGACTGGATGGGCCACTGGCCTGATCCAACATGGCTTGTCTTGTGTTCTTAATTACTATTGGAGGATACTTCTAGAATGCTGGACCGATGAACTAAAATAGGGTGGTTGAAATTCTTAACCCAGTGACATTAAGCCTTGGCACGTGAAAAGCTTGGGAGGTACGACTGAAGAACCAAGACCCAAACCCAAACCATGTTTATGCAAAACCTCTTCCAACTGTAATAGATCACAACCTAGGAACTTCAGATATATTTACTGGGACAACCCAGTGTTACTTCGGCTGCTGAATACACAACTCCTAACGCAACACGAGTAGACAAAATGTCCAAACTACATTACCCAGAATGCCTTGTTGTTCGTTCCAGCTGTAATCAGAAGCAGAGGAAAGAGAGCAACGGAGAGAACGCTTAACTCTGCCGCCCCTCTGAGCCATTTCCCCTCCACACAGCTTCCCTGAAGCATCCCATCTCGTCACAGGGCATCGGCTTCTTCTCTTCCAAGAGCAGAAAAGCAGATTGAAAAGGGGGGGGGGTCCTTCCTGAAAAACCCCCCCCCCCCGCCCTCCTACTTGTCTTTCACTCCTGACTGCTGCTTCTCTTACTTCGAGCCTTCAGTGTCTTCCCTGGAGGACTGGCAGATTCATTGCAGTGGCTGCACAGAGATTGCCAGGATGGTGCAGTGGCTGGACTAGGATTGGGAAGACCCAGGTTCGAATCCTCAGTCTACCTGGGTGACATTGGGACAATCTCTCTCTCTCTCTCTCTCTCTCTCTCTGCCTAACCTACCTCACAGGGTTGTTGTGAGGATAAAATGGAAGATGAGAGGACACTGTTGCACACTGCATTAGTTCCACATTGTAGAGAAAACCAGGGTATGAATAAATAAAATGAACAAACTGTCTCTACATATAGTAATTGCTTCACCTGGCAACTTAATGGCTGCAGTGGCCTCCCTGGATAGTTTTTCAACTTGGCAGTCCCGTTTGACGTGAGGTATGTGATCAGCAACCACTATGGTGCCTGCATGATGCAGAATGGCATTTGGATTTAGTTTTCATTCTTTATCTGAATTTAATAACTTACATGAATGCACATGAATACTGAATCAGACCCTCCTCAGGCAGAGAAGGGTCTTCCCCATCACCTGCTGCCTGGTCCTTTTTTAACTGGAGATGCTGCCGGGGATTGAACCTGGGACCTCCTGCATGCCAAGCAGAGGCTCTACCACTGGGCCACGGCCCCCCTTTACAGCTCTCCAGGGTCTCAGGCGGAGGTCTTCCCCATCACCTCTTGCCTGCTCCTTTTTTAACTGGAGATGCTGCCGGGGATTGAACCTGGGACCTCCTGCGTGCCAAGCAGAGGCTCTGCCACTGAGCCTTTACAGCTCTCCAGGGTCTCAGGCGGAGGTCTTTCCCATCACCTCCTGCCTGGTCCTTTTTAACTGGGGATGCCGGGGATTGAGGCTGGGACCTTCTGCATGCCAAGCAGGGGCTCTGCCACTGAGCCACGCCCCCTTTACAGCTCTCCAGGGTCTCAGGCGGAGGTCTTCCCCATCACCTCTTGCCTGGTCCTTTTTAACTGGAGTTTCTGCCAGGGATTGAACCTGGGACCTCCTGCGTGCCAAGCAGAGGCTCTGCCCCTGAGTCACAGCTCCTCTTTACAGCTCTCCAAGGTCTCAGGCGGAGGTCTTCCCCATCCCCTCCTGCCTGGTCCTTTTCAACTGGAGATGCCGGGGATTGAACCTGGGACCTCCTGCATGCCAAGCAGAGGCTCTTGAAGCCGTCCATGCTTGTAGCTACCACCACCTCCTGTGGCAGTGAATTCCATGAATTCCAATTCAGAAGGTTCACATGAGGTATATGGTGGGTGGGGCTCTCTTATTTCATCCTCACAACAGGCTTGGGAGGTAGGTTTAGACAGCTGAACAGGGATTGAAGTCCCCGTCTTTCTTGCCTGACCGATACATCAGGCAAGTAGTAACAGCGAACCAGAAAAATGTACCAAAATCTAAAGCTCAGAACAGCAGTCAGAAACAGAACAATCCCAAATCGAAGCACGTGTGCTGTACAAAGGGGACATGGACGGGATGGACAGGACGCCGCGTCTCCTAAGTCCCACATGGGTTTGATTTATCGTTGGGTGTTCCCGCTTAGTACTGTCAGATTAACTACAATGAAAACTGGCACAAGTAGAGGCCACATAATTAACGCTGCCTCTGGCGCGTACCCCTAACCCTACCTGCTTCTTTAAGCCCCACACCCTGTGGCCCGACCTGCACGGAACCTCAGGCGGGAGCATCCAGCAAGAGGATCCTCTCCAAAGACACCGTCATGCCAAAGGGCTCCCTCGAGCGGCACAGAGCCCTTGTGCTTGACTTCATCTGCCACAGACACACTTTTCCTGAGCACGGTCAGCTGCGTCCATTCATCCCTGGGCTGTGAGGTTGCTGAAAGAGGCGCACACAGCAGGGGACGAAGGGAGACTGAGAAGCCGCCTGCCTAAAACTAGTCATTAAGATAGTACATTAGCAGGGATCATTACAAAATCTCTTTGCTTCTGTGAAACAACGATTTGTTAAATAAGCAGCTTTCCAGATGTGCTAGAAGGCTTGCAGAATAATAATAATAACAACCAACAACCAACAACAACAACCACTATCGTTAAACATCCACCATACGGGAGTGTTACTCACACCCTCTTACTGGTATGGAGTCTGCTGCTTTTGTGTTCTCTGTGGGGTGGGTTAGATATCCTGAACGACACATGCAAACTGGAATCATGTTAGAACGTGTATGTAAAAGGAGAATGGCTGCCCATTCCTTCCACTGGGATGAACCCCTGTGTATGGACACACGTCTCGCTTTTTGAATAACCCCGGTCTTAAGACCCGCAGCTTGATTTGAGTGGCTCTCCAGTCACCGACAATCATTTCACCTACTGGAAAGAATTCTGAATAAACTCCCAACCGCAGATGGATTCAAGGCCAATTGTCCGCACCAAAGATTTCCCACCTTTCAGCCACCTCGCTTGGTGTATTTCTTTTCACCTTGCCACTGTGACGCAGTCCTCTGTTTGTGCACAAACCGTTAAAAGTCTGTTCCTTCCACGCACACACAAAATCTGCCTTATTTTAAACCAGTAAAAAACCAATATTTCCTGGGCGGGATGCTATGAGAACGAGTAGTTTCTTGGGTCTGAACAGGAACCAGTGCAATTGTTGGACTTCAGTGAAGTGCTAGTCAGTGATCTTTTCAACTGGTGGTGACCACAAGGAGCAGACCCTGGCAATACTTAGCACAGTGGAAGGGAACTGCCTGCCTTTTAGACAGAGAAGAAGAAGAGGAGATTGGATTTATACCCCACCCTTTACTTGGAGTCTCAGAGCGGCTTACAAACGCCTTCCCCTTCCCCTTCCCCTTCCCCTTCCCCACAACAGACACCCTGTGAGGTGGGTGGGGCTGAGAGGGCTCTTGACAGGAATGGCTCTTTTTCAAGAACAGCTGTGCCAGAGCTTGTGACTGACCCAAGGTCATCCAGCAGGTGCAAGTGGAGGAGTGGGGGAATCAAACCGGTTCTCCCAGATTAGAGTCCGCGCACTTAACCACTACACCAAACTGGGTAGAGGGGATGGGATCCTTGGAACCTCTGCTAATATGAAGGTTTCTTAAAGGTTGTTCAAGGTATCGCATTATTCCTACCCAGCCTTACTCATGCTCTTTAAAAAGAAACACCAGAAAGGAATCTCCTACAGCTCAGTTTGTTTTTAGGGAGAGGGGATTATTGGAGACTCTGCAAATACGTCAAGGTTTTTAAGAAGTTTTTTTTTAAAGTGATTGCATTCTTTCTATATAGCGCTGTGTTACCCCCTGCTCAAAATTAACGAAACCAAACAGAGTGGGTGGAGAATCCAGAAGGTCCTGTGAGAACACAGCTGGGGGGGGGGCTTCAAATGCACTTCAGGTGTGAAAAGGAAAAAGATGACCCCTGGCCTGTTGCAAGAAAGAGCAGTTTCACACAGAATTGCATCCGCTACCAGACAACCACCCTGGCGAGGAAGCGGCCCGGCAGAATGACAAAACCTGTGGTGGAAACTGATCCGCTGGAACACGGCAGCGTCCCGAATCCCTTGGATGAGACCCAGAGGCAGACACTCAGGTCTGCTTTAAGCCAATGCCTAGATGCTGCATTATTTCTCTCTGAAATAAGCAGTAAATATAAGTGCCCCGTGCTGAATCTGCCAGAAGGTGGTGGCATCTGTTTTTGGATGCGATGGGCATGCCCAGCAGAGAAGAGACGGCGGATAGAGGCCATTCAGAAGTGGACTGACTCTGGATCCAAGGACTGCTCCCCCTCCCCCCCCCAGCTGCCCTTCCCAGCCCAGGGAATGTCCACGACCTGTCCTGAAGGACCCCCACAGAGTATCAGCTGTGGGGGACAGAGGGCGGGCTGCAGTGGCGGTGGTGGGGGAAGAGTCAAAATCGCCCCTTCTGCCTCCATCCGCTGAATGCTGGAAGAGGGAGAGATGTTGCCCCCCTTCCCCACTCCTCCCTGTGCCCCACTGTCCCGCGTAGCCATCCCTCCACACCTGCCCTGCAAACCGAGGAACTTATTTTCATGGGGTTGGAAATGGCTTCGGGGGAGACTGGGAAGCAGGAGACACAATTCTTGCACAGAGATCCACAATCTGGACTGCCGGGTCCCAATTCGTGGTCTAAAGTTTTGTTTAGGATAAGGCATGTATTGGAATCTAAGACCAGTCCCAGCTTTAGGAGATGGGGAAAGCAAACAACGCGGGTATGCCCTGCCCACACCGTGAGCATGTCGGATAGGCAGCAACTGTTCGTCTGACTAAGGAAGACACAGAATACGAGCGAAGCAAGATGAGATCTCCAGGCATCTTTGGTTTTCTTGAAAACATACAGGCAGGGTGGTGGCAGTGGTGGTGGTGGTGGGAGAAGAGGAAGGCTTTGGACTGATGCAGGGTGTGTTTGTGTGTTCGTGTGTCTTAGGTCTTTCTCCCCCTACACTGCTTCTCTGAAACTGTCTCTCCCCCAGGCTGATAGCAGTCCAGTAGGAAAAAGGAACAAACCGGCAACCAGCAACACCCCCTCCCACCGCCGCATCCTCTACCAGGGCTAGCAGCCACTAAGCATCTGCCTCGTCACAGTTTTCCCGCATTCTGTGCAGCTGCACCCTCAAATGCAACACACCCGATTTATTAAACTCAACACCAGCACTGTGTGTGTGTGTGTGTGAGAGAGGTTCCTGTGCTTTAGAAAACACCAGGGATTTTGCATGCTACAAAGATGAGGCCTGCCGCCCACGCACATGCCGAGAAAACAGCTTCAATTTTGCACTGCTCAAGACATTGTTGGCGGAGCTCGCCCTCTGCTGGTGAAAGGCGCCCTTTGCAAGACGCAGTGATAGTCGATGGACTAAAACGCAAATGTGGCTTTCCAGAATGAGCTTCCCAGAATGTCGCTCTCTCTCTTTTGGCACATTAACACCAGGCGTTTCTTTTCAACAGTACGCAAAACTATTTCCAAAATCTGTCTTTCGTATCTCCATAGCTGAGATTCATAATAAACGGTCCGGTCCATCATTAGCTCTACAGTCAGAAACAGAATTAAAAACGAAAACAAGAGGAGGATGCGAGTATTTCAGTCTCCTTACCTTGGGTTTTTCCTCCAGTATTTGCTGGCGAATCTCCTTGTGTTTCTCCACAAGCCTTTCCTGCCTTTTACTCTGAGCGTCTTCTAGCTGAAAGACAGAATGGGAAAAAAAACAATGAATTGTACTCCAACCTGCGGTGGCATTTTAGTCCCCCCAGCTCTGCGCAGAAGTAATTACTGTCAGTGTTGCACAGATAAGACAGACTCAGCAGAACATCTCGATATTCATTTTAAAAAACAACGCTGGTAGAGAAGTCATTAGCATGATGCTCTTTGGCTCAAATGGGCCCCTTTGTCACCCAAAACAGTCCCTGGTGCTGCCGAGTCCCATGGGTGTCTGGCGCTTGGTCCTTATTCAGACACCGAGGGGGCGACTGCAGCCCACATCTTTCCTACACAACCATGGAGACGGGTTCAGGTGGGTAGAGCCGCGTTGGTCTGAAGCAGCAGAACAAAGTTTGAGTCCAGCGGCGCCTTTGAGACCAACAAAGTTTTGTTCTGGGTAGAAGCTTCCGTGTGCAAAAGGCACATGGCCGACTGTCTCCAGCTGCGAGACTGGCCCCCTCCTCTCTTTCCTCCTGAGCTCTTCGTCACGGGACCACACGGGCCCTCGGCAGCCCCCCCCCCGAAAGAGAAGGTCATGGGGAAGTATTGATTAAGAAGAAGAGGAGGAGGAGAGGAGAAGAGACTGGATTTATACCCCATGGCCCTTCACTACCTGATGGGAGTCTCAGAGCGGCGTACAAACTCCTTTCCCTTCCCCTCCCCACAACAGACAGGCACCCTGTGAGGTAGGTGGGGCTGAGAGAGCTCTTGACAGACACGGCTCTTTTTCAAGGACGGCTCTTGTCAGAACTAGGGCTTGCCCAAGGTCATCCAGTAGGTGCTAGTGGAGGAGTGGGGAATCAAACCCGGTTCTCCCAGATTAGAGTCCGCGCACTTAACCACGACACCAAGCCACTACACCGCGCACTTAACCACTACACCAAAGTGTTGATTAAGCACCCCAGAGAGTGCTGCGATCAGGGACCCAGAATCGGCTGGTCCTCCTGAATATCAAGGAGGCCGGGCTAGTGACAACGAGGGCTTTCTCGGTGGTGGCTCCATGCTGGTGGAATGAGTTCCCGGAGGAGACCAGGGCCCTGCGGGACCTGCTACAGTTCTGCAGGGCCTGCAAAACGGAGCTCTTCCGCCAGGCCTTTGGAGCCGTCACCACCACCACCACCACCGACATCTGACAGAGCGAGCCTGACCCCCTGGGTCCCCCAGTCACAGCCCGACCCGATCGCCTTGGACATCTGAAGAACACTGAGGAGCTGACTGTGCGCTGAGGAGTCAAATGCTAGCACTTTAATATGTTGTTATATTTATGGTTTTAGATTTGTGTATGAATGGATTTTATATTGTATATTGTATTATTGTATTGCACTGTTTTATACTGTTTGTGTGTAAGCCGCCCTGAGCCAGCCTTGCTGGGAGGGCGGGGTAATAATCCAAATAAATAAATAGTTTATGGATGGCCCTTGTGGATTATCCCACTTTCTGACCCGATCTCAACATGACCTTGCTGTGCAGCAAAAGGACGCGGCCAGCTCCCCGTGCCCTGGGATCCTCTGCATCACCCCCTCCGACCCGGGGCCCCCTCACCTGCCCCTGCCCCCCGCCTACCCCCCCACGCCAGGTGCCTTCGCAGTTCAGACTGCACGCTGCTGCCGCAAAGGGACTCTCCTGCTCCTGACCTGCCCCGAGAGGGAAAGCCTAGCGCAGCTCTTGGGAATCGAGAGAAGGGGACCACCGGCTCATGAACCATGAGCCTTGCGAGAATATACCGGAGGCAAGGCCTCTGTACGAAGAGGACAAAAATGATGGACATTTTCACACCTGCGTGGGCACACTTCCGTTGCTCTTCCCGCTTTATTGCTCACTTTGATTCCTGACAGGAGCTTGTAGACCTGTAAGAGCTGGCATTTCCCCTCAACCGGAATGCAAATGGACGCGTCCTCAGTTCTCTTTACTGGCTGAGTATTTGTCCCCGGGTCTAGCGTAAGGTCCTGGTGCTTACCTTTAAAGCCCTTCGTGAGCTCAAAGACACAACTGACTGTTTCCCCCAATGTGAACCCACGCGGCAAGCAACGGGGGCAGCCCCCCCCCCGGTCCCACAATACCCTCTGTATGGGCCCAGGCCTTTCCAGGTGCTGACCTGCTGCTACGGAACAGCCTCCTGGGAGGGCTGAATCAGAAAGCCCCCCCCCCGGGGGACTGCCTGGTGAGGCCGGAAGCCGGAGCTCTTTAAAAGCTATTTAAGGGTCAGCTTGCAGATGACAGGTGTCGGCTCCCGCCCCTCTGTTCTGATGGTGTGCTTTTAATTATTTTAAAAGACCACTGTTTTTTGTACATTTTTTTGTTGTTGTCACCTGGCTCTGTTGGAAGAAAGGAGGGCTACACGCCCCCCCCCCAAATAAATGAATGAATGAATAAATACAAATAAATACGTGCTGTGGACTCACCCTTTTAATGTACTGTACCACCTCCTGAATATATGATCGGATCATCTCTGTCTTCTCCCTGAGAGCAAGATAAATTATTTTTTTGTTATTAAAATACAGAACCGTCACAATACAGAAAAAGGACAGCCAATAACGTTTGCCCAAATGAAGATACCCTAAATGAATCAACATCCAGATTATGGCACTCAGCGATTAGGCCATTAAACAACGATTTCTGAGACCCAAGTCTCAAAGCCTGGATCTGCCCTGGAAGCTCCCTGGGAGATCGTGGGTCAGTCTCACAATTTCAGCCGAACCTACCTCACAGGGCTGTTGTGGTGAGGCTACAAAATGAGGAGGGGAGACCAGTGTGCCAGCTGGTTTGGGCCCCCCCTTGGGGAGAGCAGTGGGTGAGTGAAATGAGCCCGTTCCTCAGCTCATGGTCACGAAAGACCTCCTCGCTCAACAAGAACTTTCCCCGCTGCTTCCTTCAACTAGTATTGTTTTTTTCTCTCAAGTGAGCTCACCACTGGGCAATGTACTCGATTCTGTCAAAGTCCCTTGTTAAAAACTACTCCTAAGTTTAGCTAAGTGAAAATGAAAACCAGGCAGTGTTGACACATTAAAGATTCCGGCGTGATTTATGGGATGGCCACCGGCTGCCGACAGGACCCTCACTGGCAGACTGAGCACCGGCCCTCTAGGAAGGCCTCCGAGCAGCTCTGGCGAAACTCATCCAACAGCCTCCTCCAGCCATTCCCCTCCCCACATCCTCCTCGCCCCCCCCCCCGATGGAAAGAGGGAACAATCCAGGCTCCGGATGGAACAGAAGCGGTTCCATAAGATCTGCCACATTCCGGAAGCTTCCGGTTTCTCCAGGCGCAGCATGAGGTGGATCTGACAAGGGGGCACCGTTGTCCTCTCACTGTGCCGGGTGCCTCCAAGGACACTGGGAGCTAATGGGGGGGGGACCCAGCATCGCACCGGGTCTTCTCTTGCATGACCCAGAGCTTTCCGCGAGGGAAGGGGAGGACGGGATCAGTGCCCACCCACCCCTGCTATACCAAAGGCCTCTGCGCTCGGCACAGCAAGAGGCAGACATTCCCCCGTCTGGAAGAACTTTGCCGAGATTGAACTCAAAAGTTCCGCTACTCATCCTTACATTTGTCTTCATAAGAACATAAGAGAGACGCCAATGTTGGATCAGGCCAGTGGCCCATCCAATCCAACACCTTGTGTCACACAGTGGCCAGAAACACCAGGTGCCATCAGAAGGTCCAGAAGTGTGTGTGTGGGGGGACTAGAAGCCCTCCCACTGTTGCCCCCCCCCCAAGGGCCAAAAACTAAGAGAAGCCATCTCTGTTTTCTATGAACTAGCCAGTTTTTGATCCATAAAAGGACTTGTCCTTCTATCCCATGATTTTTGAGCTTACTTAGGAGCCTTTGATGAGGAACTTTATCAAAAGCTTTCTGGAAGTCAAGGTAAATAATATCTATTGGATCCCCCTTGTCCACATGTTTGTTCACCCCCTCAAAGAACACTAACAGGTTAGTGAGACAAGATCTTCCCTTACAGAAACCGTGCTGAGTCTGCCTCAATAGGTTTTGTTCATCTATGTGCCTACTAATTCTTTCCTTAATAATGGTTTCCACCAATTTACCCGGTATCGACGTCAGACTGACTGGCCTGTAATTTCCCGGATCTCCTCTGGAACCCTTTTTAAAGATGGGAGTGACATTTGCTACCTTCCAATCCTCAGGAATGGAGGCAGATTTTAAGGAAAGATTACATATCTTTGTCAGGAGATCTACAAGTTCACATTTGAGTTCTTTCAGAACTCTCGGATGTATGCCATCTGGGCCTGGTGATTTATCAGTTTTTAAGTTGTCTATCAGTTTTAGGACCTCCTCTCTCGTCACCTCAATCTGACTCAGGTCTTTCAACACCCCTCCTGAAATCAGTGGTTCTGGAGTGGGCAAGCACTTCTCATCTTCCACAGTGAAGACGGAGGCAAAAAATGCATTTAGCTTCTCAGCCATTTCCCTATCATCCTTCAGTACTCCTTTTACCCCTTGGTCGTCCAAGGGCCCCACTGCCTCCCTGGCTGGTTTCCTGCTTCTAATGTATTTGAAGAAAGTTTTATTGTTGGTCTTTACGTTTTTTGCTATATGCTCCTCATATTCCCTTTTTGCCTGCCTGACCACAGACTTGCATTTTATTTGCCATAGCCTGTGTTCCGCTTTATCAGCCTCACTGTGACTAGCTTTCCACTGCTTAAAGGAATCCTTTTTACCTTTTACAGCTTCCATTAATTTCTTTGTTAACCATGCAGGCTTTTTCCTATACCACAGGAAGTGGTGGGTGCTACAAGCATGGACGGCTTCAAAAGGGAATTAGATAAGCATATGGAGCAGAGGTCCATCAGTGGCTATTAGCCACAAGGTATAGCTAGGGGCTCTGGGGCAAGTGATGCTCTGTCTTCTTGGTGCTTGGGGGGGGGTCAACAGTGGGAGGGCTTCTAATGTCCTGGACCCACTGCTGGACCTCCTGATGGCACTGGTATTTCTGGCCACTGTGTGATACAGAGTGTTGGACTGGATGGGCCTTTGGCCTGATCCAACATTGGCGTCTCTTATGTTCTTAAGGTCGGGAATAGAGGATCTGACGGCTCGCCGAATCGTCCTTCATCCGCTGTACCGATACTGGCCAGACTTCCCTTATAAGTCTTTAAAACTTGAGGAACGTGTTTATGGCATTCCCCCGGAACATCACGCTAACGGTTTTTATCGTCATACTAATTTCACACACCCCATTTTTCTTTGCACTATTCACTGGGTTGAATTCCTCATGTCTTTCTTCGTAAGCGATCCTTTGATCTTTCTAGTCTTTAGCTGTTCTCGCCAAAAAAGCTGATCAGCCTCTCCCGCACACACAAACATGTATAAATATATTTCTGAAGCCTACTGCTGTATATGACTTTCTTTACATAAAAGCTACTCAATTTTGTCTGTGTGTGTGTGTGTGTGTGGGGTTTTTTTCATAATTTCTCTCCATCTGGAAACTGATAAAAACATAAGAACATCAGAGGAGCCCTGCTGGGTCAGACCAGGGAGATTCCATCTAGTCCAGCCTCTTGTGTCACAAAGTGGCCAACCAGTTCCTCTGGAGGGCCAGCACCAGGGCAGAGGGGCAGAGGCCTTCCCCTGAGAAGGACACCAGAAGAGCCCTGCTGGGTCAGACCAGGGAGATTCCATCTAGTCCAGCCTCTTGTGTCACAAAGTGGCCAACCAGTTCCTCTGGAGGGCCAGCACCAGGGCAGAGGGGCAGAGGCCTTCCCCTGAGAAGGACACCAGAAGAGCCCTGCTGGGTCAGACCAGGGAGATTCCATCTAGTCCAGCCTCTTGTGTCACAAAGTGGCCAACCAGTTCCTCTGGAGGGCCAGCACCAGGGCAGAGGGGCAGAGGCCTTCCCCTGAGAAGGACACCAGAAGAGCCCTGCTGGGTCAGACCAGGGAGATTCCATCTAGTCCAGCCTCTTGTGTCACAAAGTGGCCAACCAGTTCCTCTGGAGGGCCAGCACCAGGGCAGAGGGGCAGAGGCCTTCCCCTGAGAAGGACACCAGAAGAGCCCTGCTGGGTCAGACCAGGGAGATTCCATCTAGTCCAGCCTCTTGTGTCACAAAGTGGCCAACCAGTTCCTCTGGAGGGCCAACAGCAGGGCTGAGAGGCCAAGGCCTTCCCCTTAGAAGAACCCCACAAGAGCCCTGCCGGGTCAGACCAGGGAGATTCCATCTAGTCCAGCCTCTTGTGTCACAAAGTGGCCAACCAGTTCCTCTGGAGGGCCAACAATAGGGCAGAGAGGCCGAGGCCTTCCCCTGATAAGGACATCAGAAGAGCCCTGCTGGGTCAGACCAGGAAGGGTCCATCCAGTCCAGCTTCCTGTCTTGCACAGGGGCCAGCCAGTCCCTCTGGATGGTTGAGGCCTTCCCCTGATGTTGCCTTCTGGCTCCGGGATTCAGAGGTTTAGTGCCTCTGAACGTGGAGGCTTCCCCTCAGTCACCATGGCTAGTAGCCATTGACAGACCTCTCCTCCGTGAATCTCTCTAACCCCCTCTTAAAGCTGTTTATTCCTGTGGCCATCACGACATCCTGTGGCAGTGAATTCCACCTTTTAATCACTCGCTGAGTAAAGAAGTATTTCCCTTTGTCCGTCCTGAATCTACTGCCGATCTACTTCATTGGATGCCAGCCCTCGAGGTCTAGTATTTTGGGAGAGGGAGGAAAAGTTCTCTTGGTCATCTCTCTCCACCCCAGGCATGATCTTAGGAACCTCAGTCATGCCCCCCCCTCCCCAGTCGTCTTTATTTCTAAACTGAGAAGTCCCAGAGACTCTTCTTCCTTTCCTCCGAGGGGAGGGGCTCCAACCTCCTCACCATCCTGGAAACCGAACCATCTTCCTGGACCATCTTAACCTCTCGTGTATCCTCCGGCCAGGTGTTGGACTGGGTGGGCCGTTGGCCTGATCCAACATGGCTTCTCCTCCTATGTTCTTATGGCACTCTGTTCTACTCACAGGGGTCCCTCAAAGGTTAAGAGTTTAAAGACTGGGCACGTACTCGTCCATCTGACTCCTGTCCTTTGATTTAGCTTCTGTGATCTTCTCTTGTCTCTTCTTGTCCATCTTTTTTTTCAACTCTTTCTTTTCTCTGCAACGGAAGAGAGAAACTCTTAGGAACATGGCACCGCACAGGCGCACCACCAAGACCTTGGGCAGACGCGAGGAGATGCACTGGCCACCCTTACCTTTCACAAATCTCTTTCAGTTTCTTTAGCTGGCTGTTTTGGCATTCCTCGGCAACATCGGTCAGCTTTTGGATGAGCTTCAGGGGAGGGGGAGGGGGAACAGAAAAACCAGGCAGGCATGTTATAAAAACTCCACAACCATCATTTCCTTAAATCCATTTAGAATTTAAACTCACTCGGGCCCTACTGTGAAGAAAAATTGATTTTCAAATATGTTGTCGAAGGCTTTCACAGCCGGCGTTCATTCGTTGCTGTAGATTTTCTGGGCTGTCTGGCCGTGGTCTTGGCATTGTAGGACCTGACATTTCGCCAGTAGCTGTGACTGGTATCCTCAGAGGTATAACACAGAAAGATGGAGTACTCTCTGTGTCCAGGTGAGAAGAAAAATGGTAGGCAGGTAATTTATATCTACTCAGGTAATGGTAGGCAGGTAATTTATATCTATCTCCTGAGTAGATATACATTACCTGCCTACCATTTTTCTTCTCACCTTGACACAGAGAGTCCTCCATCTTTCTGTTATACCTCTGAGGATGCCAGTCACAGCTACTGGCGAAACGTCAGGTCCTGCAATGCCAAGACTACAGCCAAACAACCCGGAAAATCTACAGCAACTAATGATTTTCAAATAGCATTAAAACAACAACAACTACAACATTCCTTTTACAGCTTAAAGCAGCTCACCTTAGAACTTGCTCCACCAAAGAGATAAGCATTAAATAAAACCGATCCTAAAAATGCAGCTCACAAAACCCTTTGCCAGCAATGCCACTCGGTGATGCCCTCCCAATCTTGCCTGGCCTCTCAGCGCTTCACCAGACCCGCCAAAGAGGACCGTTGACCGCCTCAGGGTGCCCACTCCACAGGGCGGAAGCAAATGCTGAGAAACATCTGCCCTCTCTAGGGGGGGGGGGTCAGGCAGGGTTCCCTCTAAGCTGAGTCAGTGTGAGCCAGCTCACACATTTTTGTCTCTGCTCAGGCAGGATGGGGCTCCAGAGCAAACTGATTCATGCAGCAGCCAAGCAGCTCGCTCACAACTTTAATGCCCGTAGTAGCTCACAAAGTGGGATTTTTGCTCACAGGACTCCACAGTTAAGAGGGAGCCTTGGTGTCAGGTGAGAACCCCGGGGCGGGGGAATGGGAGCCCCCCAAAGGCAACAACTCACCAAGTAAAATGGGGTGTACGGAGGCACACGGAAATGTAAGTAGATTTTGAAAGACAGTTTCAGCTATACACGTGTTTCTAAGAAGTTTACCATTATCTTCAGCCTTCCCACAGAGCTGAACTGAAGCGACTGTCCCCCCTCCCCCCCACACAGCCAACAAATCTGGATAATAGATGGAATGGGGGGTCTGGGAATGCTACTCTAACTTACACAGAGCATGATTCAAATGTGGAACTTGCTGTCAGAGGAATAAGCAGTTTTAAAAGGGGATTAGAGAGATTCAGGGAGGATAAGTCTACCAATGGCTACTAGCCACAGTGGCTGAGGGGAACCTCCACATTCAGAGGCACTAAACCTCTGAATCCCAGAGCCAGGAGGCCTCATCAAGGGAAGGCCTCGGCATCTCTGCCCTGTCAATGCTGGCCCTCCAGAGGGACTGGCTGGCCCCTGTGTGAGACGGGAGGCTGGACTGGAGGGACCCTCCCTGGTCTGACCCAGCAGGGCCTTCTGATGTCCTTATATCAGGGGAAGGCCTCGGCCTCTCTGCCCGGTTGCTGGCCCTCCAGAGGGACTGGCTGGCCCCTGTGTGAGACGGGAGGCTGGACTAGAGGGACCCTCCCTGGTCTGACCCAGCAGGGCTCTTCTGGTGTCCTTCTCAGGGGAAGGCCTCGGCCTCCCTGCCCTGTTGCTGGCCCTCCAGAGGGACTGGCTGGACACTGTGTGAGACGGGAGGCTGGACTGGAGGGACCCTCCCTGGTCTGACCCATCAGGGCTCTTCTGGTGTCCTTCTAAGGGGAAGGCCTCGGCCTCCCTGCCCTGTTGCTGGCCCTCCAGAGGGACTGGCTGGACACTGTGTGAGACGGGAGGCTGGACTGGAGGGACCCTCCCTGGTCTGACCCAGCAGGGCTCTTCTGGTGTCCTTATCAGG